GTGTGTGTGTGTGTGTCTCTGTAGGTGTGTGTGTTTGTTGGGGGGTCGGGGTGTGGTGGTTGGGTGTCAGCAGAGGGTCATCACCAGATGGCACACACATGCGTACAAACCAATTAATTTCAATGAAATAAATATGGAAACAAAGTCATTCGTGACCACACACTCCTTATTCTTGATTCATCTAATAACTCCTGTTACTGCTCTCCCACATCTGTGGGTGTCTGAAAGGAAACAAATTGAAAGTGTTTATGAGTGTGTGATCCTGATAAGTACAGAAATACACACACACACGCAGAGTGTGTACAACGTGGAGGCAGTAGGTTTTTTCTGGCTTGGCTGTAAACCAATAACCTGCAGGGAGGTAAACAGCCTCTGAATGGAGGATATGGAAACCCCTCCACAGGAGATCTGTGTCTGGCCAGGCAACACTGTGTGTGTGTGTGTGTGTGTGTGTGTGTGTGTGTGTGTGTGTGTGTGTGTGTGCTGTGTGTGTGCATATGTATGAATAGGGTGGGGCCTTTAATGCCCACCACCCGATTAGACAACATATGGGTCCATCAGCATCCTTAGCTGCTGGGCCTCGTTTAATATATGTACACACGAGCACACAAACTATAATGAATAATTACACACACAGACACACACACACTAGCACACACCCATAATTGAAACACCTGATGCCCTGACACCAGTTCATTCCTATTATCATATGCAACTCCCCCATGCCAAGTGTGATTTCTGAGCTTGATTCACACACATACAGTCAGATACGTGCATACACTTGTATACAAGCTCACATACAGTACGGACACCCTCAAACAAACACACACAAACAAACAGACATACAGAACTGTACACACTCTCATGCATTATAGAGACACAGAAGCACACACAGTGAAGGGATAATGAGAGAGGTGAGAGGTCTGAAATTGAGCTGAGGTACACTGGGGCCTGAACATTGTGGCCTTGTGTCACTTTAACCCCCCAGAACAGATAGTGAGATAGAAAACAACCCTGGAGAGCAGCAAAAACACCTTCATTACTCTCTGTGTCTCAGCTTCCCTCTTTGAGATCCTGTTAGGCTCTCCTTCTCATTGTTCACCACTTCTACATTCTCTCTGTTCTAATCTTTCCAACTTTTGGCCTTCTCCTCCACTACTCTCCTGTCCTCCTTTTCCTTTACCAGCTTTTACAATTCGATCTGTAACTTCACAGTGTGGAGCAGTGCACTGACAGCATCATTTGTCTTCCCCTGCATCTACACACACACACACA